GGACGAAAGGGGACAGATCCAGATCACGACCTCCCCACCCTACTCCCACCCGAGAACCCCAAAACCCCCCATCCCAGCCCCGTACCCGTGGTGAAGGTGGCTTTGCCCTTCAAGAGCAGCTTGAGGCAGTTGGGCTGGTTGTAGAGCGCACCGTAGTGCAAAGCCGTGTTCCCGTCCTGTGTCACCCGGTCCAGTGTCCCCCTGTGCAGGGCCACCAGCGAGACAGTCAAGGCTCAAGAACATCCGAGAGCATCAGTCTCCCTTGTGCACACTCCTCAGGTGAGGGAGCAGGGAGGGGACACTGCAGGCAGCTGGGGACGCACCCGTTCTGGATGATGAAGTCCACCAGAGGAAGGGACAATCTGTCAGCGTGGCGCACGGCCATGTGCAGTGCCAGTTCACCTGAGTCCTGCCATGAGATGGAGGGGAGAGAAGAGCTGTGCCTCAGGATGCTTCATCTCCTCCAAGATGGATGAGAGGAGAGAGCTGGACCTGAGGATGCTCATCTCCCGTGAGATGGAGAGGAGAGCTGGACCTGAGGATGCTTCATCTCCTCCAAGATGGATGAGAGGAGAGAGCTGGACCTGAGGATGCTCATCTCCCGTGAGATGGAGGGGAGAGGAGAGCTGTACCCAAGGATACTTCACCTCCTCCAAGATAGAGGAGAGTTGGACCTGAGGCTGCTTAATCTCCTCCAAGATGGAGGGTAGAGCTGGACCCAAAGATGCTCCACCTCCTCCAAGATGGACAGAAGAGAGCTGGACCTGAGGATGCTCATCTCCCATGAGATGGGGGGAAGAGGAGAGCTGGACATGAGGATGCTTCATCTCCTCCAAAATGGAGGAAGAAGAGAGCTGGACCCGAGGATGCTCATCTCCCCCAAGACACAGGGAAAGGAGAGCTGGACCTGAGGGTGCTTCATCTCCCCCAGGATGGAGGGGAGAAGAGAGCTGGACCTGAGGATGCTCATCTTCCCAAGGGCACATCTCCACTCAAAGGCCAGGGAAACCCTGAGCATGGGCAACCAGAGTGGGAAAACCCATCAACAGTGCCAGGCAGAGGGAGCGGGGACAGGGGGCTCACCTGGCCCTCGGGGCTGGCCAGGGGCTTGGCCAGATCGTGCCCCTCAGCGAAGACCTGCAGCAGGGCCAGGAGGTCACGGGTATGAATGGCTTCCCAGAGGCGGTTGGGGTCATCACGGCCGCTTTTCTGCACGTACCGTCGCTCCATATACTTGGCCATGATGTACTCCTTGCGGGCAGCCCTGCGGCAAGGACAGCGTGGCATCGTCATGGATGGGCACGGAGACCAAGCCCACCCTGTCCCCACCACAGCCTGAGGCACCCTGAGCCTCCTCCTGAAGCTTCAAGATCAGGGGAAACCTCCAAAAAAAAAAGGTGCAGATTGCCACCAAAATCCAGGTGATGACACCAGGATCCCCCCCTCTCTCATCCAGGGCTGTCTCAGAGACAACGGGCAGCGGCACAGGGACAAGGACAGACCATGTACCATCCACTCCTCCTTCTCCCAGCCCACCCCGAGCCCCCCAACCAGCAGCCAACTCACATATCACTGCCAGCCGAGGGCTTGGGACAGTCCTGCGTGGGCAGCGTGGCCTCCATGATCTCGTTAAAGCGAGTGTTCCCCACACTGACGGCCAACTGCGGCGAGAGAGGGGTGGAAGGAGAGGAGCCCACCTGGCCATGCTCACCCTACGCCAGCCAGATCCCCATCCCAGAGGAAAGGAATCCACTGGATCCATTCAACACCTTCCCAGAGCAGGATCTCCCCCAGGGACGATGCTCTTTCATGGCAGGGGACATCTGGTTTAAAAGGGAGCAAATCTTGGGGGGCTGCCAGCATCTCCCCCCTTAACAAGTGGCTTTGAAGACCCACCCCAACTTGCCCAGAACATCGTGCTGGGGGCTGCAAACTTCTACTGGGGAAATTGAGGCAAATTTGGAAGCACTGGAGCAAACTGGGCACAGATGGGATGGAGAAGAGATGAACTCTGTGTGTCCCAGGAGGTGTGGGAGCTGCAGAGGGTGATTCCTGGTGGCCACAAGATCTCCAGGTTTGGGGAGCAGCTTACCAACAGCTCAGAGGTGCTGAGGACATCCAGGGTGAGGGACTGGATGCGGGAGTAATGCACACCCAGCTCCCGATGGATGCCGGAGCACTCAATGCATGTCAGGATGCCCAGGTTGGTGGAGAGCCAGGTGGGATCTGCAGA